CCCCCCCCAGACAGGGGGCAAGGGGCCACCGACCCCCGCCATGAGCTTTGTTTGGGTGGAGGTCTCGGAGCCCATGACAGGCGGCAGCGCCCGGGCAGAGCCCCTGGCAGGTGGACTCTGCATCTGCACCACGTCTGCAGAGCTGCGCCTGCTGCTTTTGCTTGCTGGAGGTGCCGCTCTGGGCAGCTACCTCACGCCCGCCTTATGCGAATGCCGGCGCAAACACTGGCATGCCCTTACAGAGCACACCTGTTTGCGTGCACTGTTCGTGTGCGCTGCCCGCGCGCAGCTCAGGAGCACAGCTCCCTGTCGGGCAAGCTAAGAGGGCTCCGGAGGGCTTCCCCTCTAGACCCGCCTCAGCTGCACTGTACCCTCTGCCCCGCTTACCTTAGGAGAAAATCAGCTGTTGCTGCCCCTGCCACCGTCTCCTCTGCAGCTGCTGCCTTCGCCACCGAGGTAAGGTGGGTACACGTGTGGCACACGTGCACCCTGCTCCCTCTGCTCCTGCAGAGTGTGAAGCAAGAATAAAATGTTTGCAGACATCGGCAGTTTTCTGGTTAGAAAGCTCATGTTGTAGATGAGAATAGGCATTATTGATGGCATGGATTGTCTTCATCCATTTTGAAAAGCAGCTAGCATGCTATTGGTGGCATCACTGTATCTCTGATGTTATTTCTTTGCTCTACCTACAGGAACAGAGGGATGAAATTGCCAAGATGGAAACCATCAACAATGGGAAATCCATCTTTGAAGCCAGAGTGGACATTGATATATCTTGGCAGTCCCTGGAGTATTATGCAGGGCTGGCAGGGTCTCTAGCAGGTGAGAGCTGTACTAGTTGTTATTTAGTGGAGCCTTCATTTTCCATAACTGGGAATTGTCACTGTAGTATACCAGGGACCTATTGAGTTACTTCCTAATAAGTCTTTGGCCTGTTAGAAGTCCTGGACTATTTGACTGGAATAGAATTTTGATTTCTCATCCAGGATATTGCAATGTCCTATGGTGGTTGTTAGACATGGTGGAGGAGCCACAGCTCTGTTCCACTTAAAATGTGTTTGACTACAGGGATTCCACTAGGACTGCCTCTGATTTAGATTGGAGCAGAATTTGACCCAGGAAATAGTGACCAGATGGGCAAGATGCTGACTCAGCATGTAGCAAGACCTTGTATGTGTGCTTCTCTGTTGCACTGTGGGAGAAACAATTGGCTATGCTGCTAGGGATATGGGCTACTGCTGGGGCAGTTTCTTTCTTTTTCTTTTCTTTCTAAGTACTGGAGATCTTTTAATTTCCACCCAGAAAGGCTGTTGACAGCAAGGTCAAAGGCATCTCATTTTTTTGCACTTGAAGCATTGTCCATGTAATTTCCAGTGTTCTGGGCATAAAAGCCTGTAGGGCCTTGTTTGTAGTCATGGCGCCCCATTGGAACAAGGATCTTGTGGTTGGCTCAGTGCTGGATTTAGCTGTCCTGGTCAGTGCTGACTACCTCGTTAGACAACATTCAATGTCAGGATTGTGTCACTTCACTTGGGTGTTTCACAGTTGTTCAAAGACAGCAGCTCTGCATTACAGGGTTTTTATCTGGAACCTATCTGGTTTATACCTTTGGACAGAATTACTTGAGTCGACCCAGCCTTGAGATCTTATCGGGCAAGCCCATCTACAGAAACCACTACTCTGTTTCCTTTTGTTCCAACTCCCTAGATGCATGTAACTCCCAGAACTGGGGCTTTCGCCTGATTGATAACTGAGTGAGAGTCTGTTTGCCTGTAGCTGGATTTTTTCAGAATGATTAACAGAATGGATCTTCACCCTCCATCTCGAGTTCTGGACTTGTGTTGAATACCTTGGGGCAGTGGTCTGCATCCTTATACAGTCTCACCTAGGACATTTGTGGTTTGAGATCAGATTGGCAATACAGCAGAGATTTTTCTTAAGCGTCTCAAGGGTGTTGGGCAAGAATTGAACAGGGATGTGAATCTGTACTAATCTAATCCAATGGCTCCATTACAGAGGCTTGAACTTGAACTTGGTTACCTTGTCCCAGAGATGCTGTAGTGTGATAGAAGAAATTAGTTCGAGCCAGTGGTGTTACTTGTTGAGCTCTGCTGACCTAGGCTTTGCCACAGAGTCTTAAATACAGAGCTGGACAAAGATGAAACTGGGGAAGAGCAGGTATCAGATGAAAGTGATCACTGTTCAAGTGTAGAGGTCCCAGCTGAGATCAGGGCACCATTATATGAAGAGCTACACATGCGCGCGTACATTCTTGCTCTCTTTCCTAGTCAGGTCCTGCTGTGAGGAGCTTAATTTAAATAAAGAAGAGTGGGAAAGGGAGTCTTCCCCTTCTCTACAGAGGGAGAATGAAAGCAGAGGAGGATGAGGGCTCCCTGCAGAAGATGGACAGGGTTTTCTGGCAGAGGTGGAAATGAGATGGTCCCAGGAAATCTGGATTCACTGTCTTCATCAGAAGACCATACTGTCACTGCTGGCATGATAGAAGGGAACTAGTTGTGAAAGGGGCTGTATGATATATAGGGCCTCTGAGAGCAGGGGACTGGGCTTGATGACTAAGAGAGCACTGCCATTCCTATGCTTCTATAACTAAGTCCAGTCAAATTCCTTGGAGTTCTAGGTACCTGGTGAAGTATGTCTTCAGTACCAGTCTACGAATCCCTTGCTGTTTTTCATGGCACTGTGGAGCTTTCACTCTCTGAGTTCACTAAAAAATAGAGTTGTTCTTGACTCAGGTACTTGGACTTTTTTGAGAAATTCCTTTGTGAGGCTAGTGGTCCCTAGTAACTTGTGTGTACTAGGGGTGTACCAATAAAGATTTTCTTGGCTGATGCGGGTGGCTGATTATTTACCAGCCATATTGGCCAATCCCAATTTAATAGCCAATCTACAGGAATGCAGCCCAGCAGCTTGGAGAGCAGCATCCTGCCGGTAAGTCTATGGGGAGGAAGGGGCATGGGAGTGGGGCAGATAGAGGCCCCCACCGTAAGGGAGGGAGTGGGGTAGGGGCAGGTGCTGCTCAGCTAGGACAGTGAATGCGACCCTAGGGCCAGAATGGCAGCAGGCAGCTGGTCAGCCCAGGTGGGGGCAGTTCCCTGTCTCTGCATGCACCCCTCAGGTGAGGTAAGGGGGGCATGTGCCACCCCTGATTTGTGCATGGGGCAAGGGTGGGCTGTGGGCTTGGGGACAGGGGCTGCACCAGACTTTTCCTGCCCAGGGGGACTGGGCTAGGCCTGCACTCAGGCACACAGAGGTGGGGTGGGTTCAGTTGTGCAGGGTAGCTCTGGGGGGGCTATGGGTAATTTTGGGGTGGCCATAGGCCCCCAAGTCTCCTTGCTGCTGCTGCTGCCACTGCCCATCCTGTGCAGCTGAGCCTACCTGGCCCCTTCCTGCTCTGAGCAAATCCCTGGCCCAGCCCCCTGCTGAGAAGAGGCTGGCTCAGCCTGTGGCCCTGAGCCCTCAGAGAGCAGCCTGCCTTTGCGTCACGCACAAATCTGGGGGGCACGTACCCCCGCATGCCTCCCCTGGGGCTGCACACAGTGGCGGGGAGCCACCCCCCTCCCTACATCCCAGCAGCTCTGTCCCACACCTCGCCCTGTGGTTGCATTCACTGCCCTGGCCAGGCAGTGGCTGCCCCTGACCCACTCTCTCCCTCCCTCACCATGGGAGTCTCGATTTGCCTTCCCATGCCCCTTCCCTCCTACATATTTACCAGCAGGAGGCTGCTCTTCAAGCTGCCAGGCTGCATTCGTGGTGCAGCTGTGTACATGCACACGGCATTTATTGGTGACATTTGGCCAAAAAAAGCTAGTGGCTGGTAATGTTAATTTTCCTTTTATTGGTGCTGATCCAATATGTGACTGAAAAAGGTGCAACTTCAGTGTGCACCTTCAGTAAGCAGGGGGTAGGAGAGCTTTGTTATGTCCCATATTAACAAGGACATAGGACATTGCACCAGGCGCTGGCTGATGGAGCTGCAAGGTGTTGTGCTTCATGCTTCCCTAATTTTCTGTCTGTTTTCATTCTCCTGCTCAGGTCAGCACGTCCAGCTTCCTGGAGGGTCCTTTGCTTACACTAGAAGAGAGCCACTTGGGGTGTGCGTTGGGATCGGAGCCTGGAACTACCCCTTTCAGATTGCTTGTTGGAAGTCTGCCCCAGCCTTGGCATGCGGTAATAGAGACCCCACCCTGTGTGTTTAGGTTTTTGAGGAGTGAGGGATCATAAGGGGAAGGAAAGATTGGGGATAAGTGTTTATGGACTAGGAGTGCACTTGGTGGCTAGTAAAGAAACTGATGGGCTCCTAGGCAGGGATTGAAGACTGTGATTGTGGCATGGAGAGGAAGAAAACCAAGAAAAGGACGTGAGAAAGTCAGTAAATGGGAGCTGAGGGAGAAGTGTGACAGGAAGGAATGCTGTTGCCTCAGACCAAGCAAGTAAGGGGTCATGCTAAACAGTGGTGTACAGAAGAAGGAAGAAATCAGTGCAAAATCTTTGCCCCAGTTCCTTCTTGGATTGTTTTCTAGTACCAGGTACCATACTGGTACAGGGTCACTGCTGAGAATGATGCAGTCGGCGTTGTCCGCCATGTCAATCCGTTACTTCAAGTCTTTGATTTGGATCCTGCCCCTGTACTTTTTGGATGCTTATTGAAATCAAGCTCTTTTCTTCTTCCGTGTGGGTGATCTGTCTAAATAATTTTCCCTTCCTACCTTCCAAGCTTTTCAAGTTTTAACCTCCCCCCTCCTGTTTTTTTGGATTCTTGTAGGTAATGCCATGGTCTACAAGCCCTCTCCCCTCGCCCCCATATCAGTGGTGATGTTGGCAGAGATCTTCAGCAAAGCTGGTGTGCCCAAAGGGTTGTTCAATGTGGTGCAAGGTGGAGCTGCCACCGGCCAGTTTCTGTGCCATCACCCAGATGTGGCCAAGGTTTCTTTTACTGGGAGTGTGCCAACAGGCATCAAGGTAAAGACCCTTCAGCACTAGAGGAGGGTAAGAGGCTTATAATTGTGCCTCTAATGTCAGATGATGCTCTTCAGGTCAAATCTTCCTGCACGGTTTTGCATAAGCAGCCTACTGCCAAAGACATGGAAGGGGCATGACATGAAGCTACTCTTAGGGCACAGAACTGTTATGTAAAAGGCTGTGCTGAGTCTTCAGCATTTGGGGCTGGTTTTAGGCAATAACTCTTCAAGGGTGTGCTCACAGGTTGAAGAGGTTAAGTCTTCCTGTCCTTATGTAGAGTGTAGCTAATGGATAAATCTGGATATTCCTGGAAATTTAATAAGGCTTCCTCAATCAGCCCCAAACTTGAATTAAATCTCTCTTCTCCCCCCACCTCATGTAGCTGGGGAGGAGAAATTGATAGCCGTTCCTACTCTTCAACATGTGTCTGCCTGGTCACATGCTCTGAAATCACACTGATTGCTGACAATAAGTAAAGTATAAAAGATAACAGGAGAGTTAGGATAAAAACAAGAGCAGTCCTAAGAAATCAGTAACCAGATACTGAGCTA